ACGCAATAGCACTGATGTAAATGTTTTATCCGTTGAGGAATTTTTAGACAAACACGGTTTGGGGTGTCTTAATACAGGGGAAGGAACACAATATAATAATAGGCAAAACACAGAATCTGTAATTGACCTCACGTTGGGAACCAGTGCAATAGCAGGTGTAAGCACATGGAGGGTGGGTAAAAACACAACAGTTGGCAGTGATAACTATCCATCGATGACTATAGTTGAAACAAAAATTTGCTTTGAAAAAGAAAAGAAAATTCCTACATGGAAATTGAGAAACACTAATTGGGATGCCTTCCAAAAGACAAGTGCAAACAGACTTAAAAAACTACAAGAGGAGATCCAGGTAGATGTTCACAGATTTAACGAGGAGATAGTAAATGCAATACTTCATTCTGCTGAGGAAGCAATCCCTAAAAGTACAGGTGCTACACGCACTAAGAATGTTTCCTGGTGGAATGATGACTATGGCAAAGCCATTAGAGCCAGAAATAAAGTATTTAGACAGCATCTCCAGTATCAGTGATACAGGTGGAAATGGGAGAGATGCCTCTGCGAATTAGGCGAGTCAAATTAATGCTGGCGTGCTGGGCCAATCTCCAGGGGTATCACGATGAGCATCCTGCAAAGACCATCTTGGAAGACTGTTGGGAGCACAACAAAACCAATATCAGAAAGCACAGATTGTAGGATTAAGCGAGATACAGTACTGCCCCACAGTCTCAATCTCCATTCCTCCTTGGATATTCCATCTGCCTAATGTAGATCTCAATATATGTCAAAAATTGAAGGGCAACTCAGGAAAGCACCCAGAATGGCACATAGTGCAGAATTATTTTGACCAGCACTACTCAGATTCAGTCTTTATCTTTACAGACGGATCCAAAGATCCAGATACAGGATGTGCAGGCGCAGCGGTATACACTCACCGGCCACTTCATTAGGTACACTTTGGTAGTACCAGGTTGGACCCCCTTCTGCCTTCAGAACTGCCTTAATCCTTCCTGGCTTAGAATCAACAAGGTTCTGGAAACATTCCTCAGAGGGTACACTGTGGTCATAAAGGCATGGACATGGTCAGCAA